GGAAGAGCTGGGAGCCGGACGGCAAGGTATGAACAGTCACCGGGCTGGAGCCTTGGCTAATGGTTGCCACCGGGATGTTGCCCACGGAGAACTGCTGTCCGACGGGCGCGATAGCGATGGGCGAGATGACGGTGAACTGCGGCTGCTGGATGGGGGTGGAGGGGCTGAGGACGGTGGCGGAGGCCGGGCGCTGCAGGCGGGGTCTCTTGGGGGGCTTGGGAGCGCTGACGGGCATCAGCACCACGTTCTGGATGGTTTGGGACTTCGCCTTCTGATCCTTGGCCAGTTTCTTCTGCTCTTCCAGCTGCCGCTCCAGGTCTGCAAAGAGAAGGGTTGGGCTGCATTGGGCTAGGCCAGCATGCTGCGGGAGCTCCTGGGGACTCATGGGCTCCGCAGTGAACCATGACACCCCACGTTTGTGACAGGAGGTCTCCTAATCACCCAGCTGAGCGTGATCGTAGCATTTCACTCAAGATCAAACTGCACTGAGGGAAAAGGCCGGATTTTCCTGGCACCCACACGGACCTGATCAATGTTCAGCACCTGCTCAGCCTGCTTTGACCAGAATAAGGAACAGGAAATGCTCTGTACCAATTTGATATCTCCACTGTCTTCCCACAGATGAGAAGATGAGCATTTCTGCTCCCTGAGCTAGACCCACCTATAAAAGAGACTGGACAAGCCCCTCTGGTCAGTAGGAACGGCCTCCTGAGCTTGGCTGCGTCCCCTCCCCAAGAGCCAAGCACCCGTACTGGGGACAGGTCAATGAAACATCTCTCTCAACCCTCATCCGTGTGAATGCTGAAGTCAGAAGTAGCCCAGTAATCTCATTTATCCAGGGCAGTAGGGGACTAGGACGTGCAGATAAGAACAGGTCCTGCAGGACACAGTGAGGAGGGAGAAACGTTCAGCAAGCGGCTCTGGGGAATCAAGCTCAGGGCACTGGCATCAGCTCAGGGGAAGCTGTGCAAGACACCGGATAGCTCCACGCCAAGACAAGCAAACAACTCAGCGCCCTGTGCATGGAGCAGCTCATTAGGTTGGGCACAGCACGGCACTGCCTGCAGCTCGGGCGACTGCTGTACAGCCCTCAGACAGCAGCACCCATTTCCTAATGCTGCCAGAATCAGACTCGCACCCTCAGCACTCTGGCTGCAGCAAAGGGCACAGACTTTGGGCTGTCGAATGCCCCAAGCCACTGCTCACTGCGAGGCAAGGGAGAGGGGAGATGCCACGCAGGCCCTAGGATGGAAAGAGATTGGGATGCATTTGTTTCGGGCCAGTGTGGATTGAACAATAACCCAAATATGGTTCCTACATTGAAAGAAAGTCACTGCAGCGCCCAAGAGCAGCAACAGGACGAGAAGCCCTACGAGGCACTCACTGTACCTGCCAGGGTGTAAAGGAACTGCTCCTCTCCTTGCTCCGTCTGGTTTTTCCTGTTGTCCAGAACCTTCTTGACTGTGTCCATCAGCCCAAACGTGTGGGCAACGTTGTTCAAGACCGCAGCATCTGCAAGGAAAGAGCATGGGGATGAGTGCCACAGGTGGGACTGGGTCAGGTACCCCAAAGATGCTCATGTTACATCAGAAATTTTCTGCTGCTTTTTGTAAAACTTGCCTTGTCCTTTCACAAGGGCTGGCTGACAAGGGCAGACACAGCTCCCTCATCCTTCCGACATCCAAGGACTAAATAATCCCATTCACATGATAAAGAAAATGAAACAGAAATGTGTTTCCCAAGCAGCTCAAAATTGCTGCAAATGAAAGCATAATTTGCAATCAGAGAGATACAAACGAGCTCTCCACCTACAAATCATCACCCCATGCTGCTGACAGTGTCATTAACATGCCAGCTCCACTGAAAGCTGTGCAAAATTTCTATTATAATCCACTGACTTCAATCACTCACAGCTTCCAAAAGCTGCCACCTACCAGACACTGAGATCCACCAGCCCAAAGCTAAATTGGAAGAGAAAATTAAAAAAATATCCTGGGTAAAATGAAGTTGGTGGCACCATGGATGTTCTCTCGTCAAGAGCATGAACACGAGGTGCTCTCAAACCCTGTGCTCACGGGGGCATGTGCTGAACAGGATTAGGGAACTGATCCAAGTTAAAAATAACCCTGAAGAGGGGAGGGGAGTTATATTTAACCCAGATCAGTTCCCTCATCTGGTTCAGCCCCAAAACCAGGTTTTCTGGCACAAGACAGAGAGAGAAGTGAGGGGGCAGGACCTCTTTAAGCCTTCACTGTCATGGAGAAAAGTGTCAGCAGGTCTGAGAAGTGAATCTGGGCAGGCTTTCATGAGGACCTGGAGCTGAGGATGGTCCCAGCAAGCTGCCAGGGTCCTTTTGCTCAGGGAAGAGGGTGCCACGCTGTGTCCTCGTGTCCTGCAGTGGTGTAAGTGAATGCTCTTCGCAGTTGGCCAGGCTGAGACCACACCAGACTCAGCTCCCTCAGCTCAGCTAATGAGCACTAACTCACTCACCACCCTGACTCGACAGCTTTAAATGTTGGGAATGGACCCTTGTCACTCGTTTCTTTGCCTGCCGCTGCCCTTTTGAGCATCCTTCACCGCAGAGCCAGAGGCTGTGGCTCACAACCTACCTGTCATCTGGAAGGGAGACTGACCCAACCTCTGCTGAACGCCTCTTAGGACTTCTTCTATCTCCTTCTGGATGTTGCATACGACCTCTTCCATCAGCCCCACATCAGCTATTCCTTTCCAGAACATCAGCGTGTCCTCTGGCACGAGCAGAGGGAACAAGAAGTCAACACAGAATCACAGAACCATTTAGGTTGGACAAGACCTTTAAGATCACTGAGTCCAACCATTAACCCAACACGGCCAAGTCCACCACTAAACCCTGTCCCTAAGTGCCCCATGTTCTCATCTTTTAAAGTGGTGACTCCACCACTTCCCTGGGCAGCCCATTCCAATGCTTGACAACCCTTTTGGTGAAAAAATATTACCTGATAACCAACCTAAACCTCCCCTGGAGCAACTTGAGGCCATTTCCTCTCGTCCTATCACTTGTTACTTGGGAGAAAAGACCGACCCCCAGCTCTCTACACCCTCCTTTCAGGGAGCTGTAGAGAACATGTACAAGCACTGGGCATTTTTCCCCACTTAAACCTTTAAGGTAGGAGTAACTTTGCAAGACGACTTCTAATTTGGCCACTGAAGTGGATGTGACATGCAAAAAGAACCCATCAAAAAGAAGCAAAAATTTGCAGGCAGCAAATCTGTAACATGTTTTCAAGTGGCACCACGACTTCCAAGGCAACATTTCACTGCCTCTGTTCATCTTTGCAAGATGCAGAGCTTAAAGTCTTTGTTTGAGGAAATCCTGCCGAAGCTTCTGTACTGATCTGAGGGAAGGCAAGGCACCGCAGCCAGGGAGACACAGCCAAGAGAGCTGACAGGGTACTAACACGGGTTACTAACTCTCTCTAACACTGCTCGCTGATGGCTTCAGTCTGGCTCCAGGCTGGCAGACGTTTACATCCTTAGAATGAATAATTAAAAATAAAAAGCCCCTCATGGTAACTCGTAGCAACTGATCTGGAGCATCATCCGTCAGCCACAAGGCCAGGGCTGGTCTCATGCTGCCTGCTGCAGGGAGGAGCTCCCTTTGGCACGGACTTGGGAAAGGCTGGGATAGCCACTGGGCTGGGGGACAGCTCTGTCACTGCCTAAACTCTCCTTATTTTCAGGATTTCCATCTCCAGAATGTAACGGGCGAGGAGAGAAGGAGAAAACACTCAATGAGGAGGCTGAGCTTACCCGAGATCTCATCCGTGTCCTTTTTCATGCCTTCCTCAGTGGCCATGGTGACGGCAGCTGTCAGAGCTGAGTTCCACTCGATCCCCTCCTCCATGCTCTCCTCCGACAGCGCAATCTGGGTGATGCTCCCTGCCAGAGAGGCAACGTCAGCTCCCTCTGCGGCACCCAGAGTGCCAGCCCTGAATCCCTGCTTTGCTTTCCACCCCCCTCGCCCTTCCCAGGCTCTTTTTTCACTCCATGGTCAAGTCGTTTGTGTCTGGCTCCTTTCAACCAAATCAGCTAAAAGCAAATATTGCTGCTTCTCCTTGGACCTGTGATTGGGAAAGGCTCTGGGGCTTCTGGAGGGAAAACCACGGACCCTCCAGAAAGCAGACTGGAGTTCTGACATAAAAGAAACAGAAAAGGATCAGAATAAAGGGAATAAATAAGCCACAGCCCAGCCACTCTTCTTGCATCATTAACAAGAGCTCTGCACCCCAGAAATGCCCCAATCTTTCAGGAAATGACCACATCAGGGTCCAAGCTGGTTTATAGAAGGGAAATGGATCTGACTTAATCCAAAGTTTCTGGATCAAATTTGGGACAAAGCCAAAGCGCAGCCAATGTGGCCACCACGTGACCACCACGTGGCCATGGTGCTCTCCAGGAAGTTTTCCTTTGCCTATGGACAACTCTGCCACCTCACTCACCCAGCGGCTTTGAGAAACGTAACCTGCCCAGCTGGACAATGTACAGTTGAGAGTAATCTTCTCCCCTAACCTCAGCAGAGAAATAACTTTCTGCTCTGAAGCATGGGGTTCACTGAGAATTTGGAGTTGGAATGACAATCATATCGTGCCCAGCCATCACACCCCACTCCTGGATGTCCAGGTGATGTGGAGCAGGCTGCCCTGGAGGAAGTCAGCACGCCTTGATTAATTTCTGAGTATCAGCCCAGCTTGTGCCTTTGTAACACTCTCAGGAACCACTGCACAAGCTCTCAGGTGTTTGCTCACATGGGATCCCTCCAAGGTGAGCCTCCCCTGGCTCCCAAGGCTGTCTCTGGTCTCTGCTTCACACCAGCTGCTTTCCAGCCCTCCCACTCCTGCAGAGGTCCCTGACAGACGCTGATGAGATCTCTCTAAGTGGACAAGAGAAGCATTTTCCTTCCCAGAACCCAGAGCAGCTCCTGAACAGCAGGAGAAGGTGTGAAGTGTGTGTGGGTCAACCCAATTTGATTAGCCCAGAGAGGGAGAGAAGTGTCAGAGGGAAATTCCCATGGCATTAAAAACTGGTTTCCTACCATCAGCTGATGTAGGAGTCTGCACCACGCTCTGCTGCCCTGGCACCGGTGCTCTGGCACTGCTGATCAGGAGATCGAACTTGGTGCTTCGACAGGTGTTGGTGCAAACTTTGTCGTGCTGGTAGAAGTCGATCTGCCCCGAGTCCATCATCTTCCTGTGCAGGGAGTGGGGAGAGAACCAGGCTCAGCTCAAATCTCAGCCTGGAGACAAAAGGGAGCACTCCACATAGGAATGCTACAGCAATGGGCGAAAAAAAGGAGACCCAGTGCCAAAATAGGGAGACCCGGTGGTGCCGCTCTGCACACAAAACATCTCCTGCAGGGCTTTCAAGTGGTAAATACAAGCCATCCCCCAGCTTCAAATGCAGGGCTCCAGTCCTGTTAAACTCCCACCAAGCAGCAAGTGCCCCAGGCAACGCCACTTCTGTACTGGATGAGAAATCCTGCCCCTAAAACCACGGGGCCAGGATCTCTGCAGGCAGCTGGCCAGGCAATCTGAGCCTCCAAGAGATCTCCCGGGGACTGCAAAGCCGACAAAATGCCTGCTCAGGATCCTGCAGCTGCAGTGATGAAGCCCTGGAGTTGGACACAGCGGTAGGCAAATCAAATACCTCAGCATGATTCCCCCGAGGCGAATGGCTCTCTTCCAGTCCTTTAGGGTAGACTTCCCAGCCAGGTGAACAAAATGCTTCGGGCTGATCAGTTGGTCATTGAACTGACAAGGAGATAAACACAGGCTAAGCAAACACAGGGTAACACCGCTTTGGAGGATCATATTGGGACACCCAACACAGCCAGTCTGCAGCTCATGTAAGCCCTCACTTCTACCCAGAAAGAGGAGCTGCTTCTCAAATTCCTACCAGCTTCAAACCCCTTAGCCAGCAAAGCTTGTAACTCCAGAATGGACGTGTCTGCAGGGATGACCTGCCAGCCATCAGCATCCCAACCACACAGCTCTAGCCAGGAACAGCCCTGAAGGCTTTCGTACGAGGCATGAACGACGTCAGCTCCTCTGTGAACATGTACAGTCACTGTGGAGATCATTACAGGAGACTCCCGTTACATCAAATAGCCAAGGAACATCTCGCTGACACAGGTATTCACTCGAGCATCTGTTCTGTCCTGTTCCAGTGACGAAGATAGTTCCTGTCTGGGGTCAGCAGCAGAGCGCGCTCACTGCAGCAGTGCACAGGGACTCGGCCTCAGCTGCTACATTAGCACACTTTCAAGGGGAAAAAGGTAACAGCAAGATTTCTCTTCTCGATGCAACCTGCTCACCAAGGAAGTGGCAGTCGTGGAGTATCAGGACACCAGGGGGAAGAGACAAGGAAGAAAAGCTCTGGCAGATCTCAGTACGCGTCCCCTGCCTGCCTTCAGCTCCAAGTTTCTTGTGAAGGGTCAAACGCGATTCTGCTTTCAACAGTAATCGTGCTTCTCCCCATCCTAAATACAACTTCAGCACTAACAATCCAGCCCGCTGCAAAGGCAAAGTCCAGGACAGGGCTCAGAAGAGATGCAAAACATACAAAAGCCAAGTGCCAGATCTTGAAAGCAGAGAAGGAATCGGCTGCAAAAACTCCCTTACCTTTACACACTTGACATTAATTCCTGGACAGACGAACTTCTTCCAGAGCAGGATGGCTTTGCTCTCCCCGCAGGTGATGGGATAGGCGATCTCGATTTCCTCGTTCGTTTCAATGGTGCTGGGGTCTGAGGAAGGAAGGGGTGAAAATGAAACTTTGCACCCAAGAAGCTCAAATCCCATAAGGTGGGAGCTGAAAGCTCACAGGGTGTGAGACCTATGCTCAGGAAACCAAAAGAGGGGCTGTTCCCAGTTCAGGATCAGTCCTCTCTTGGTCTGCCCCAATGACTCGCCCTAACAGCAACCAGCATCTGCTTTTCTAACATAGCAACACTCAAAATGAAGCTCATCTATCAGGAGAGATCAGAAATCCAACACATCTGTAAGGGGGGTTGTCGTCAATAAGAACAATCTTCGTGGAAACAAAATGCTTTAAAATTTGAAGCACAGAGTTCTCCCAGATTTCTTGGAGCTCTGGTATCTCTTTAGCAGTGATAACAGATATTTACTGATAATATATTCTCTTCACACGCAGAGTTTCTGCTAATACTGCCAGAAGACCCACACCCACACAGCAGTCAAGATTTAGTGACAGCACCTAATGAAAAGAGACTTCTCCACATGCTCCTCAGGATGGGAGGGAGTGCTCAGAGCCAACCTGCTTGGTTCTTCTGGACATTCAGCCCAAAATGTCAGGCTGTTTGTTCAGCAAAGAACCAGCGATCACACAATCCCAGCATGGATTGGGTGGGAAGGGACCTTAAAGCCCCCCCAGCCCAACCCCCATGGGCAGGGACACCTCCACCAGCCCAGGCTGCTCCAAGCCCCATCCAACCTGGCCTTGGGCACTGCCAGGGAGGGGGCACCCACAGCTTCTCTGGGCAACCTGGGCCAGGGCCTCACCACCTCACAGGGAAGGATTTCTTCCTAATATCCAGTCTAAATCTCCCCTCTTTCAGTTTAAAACCAATCTCCCTCGTTCTATCACTACCTACCCTTGTAAAAAGTCCCTCCCCAGCTTTCCTGTAGGACCCAATCGCAGTCTGATGCTTCAGCCAACGGAGACACAACTGCCATCCTCAGAACCATCCTTCCTGACTGCACACCAAGACCAGGGTGACATTTCAGCTCCCCTGGACCTCGTGGGAGCCCTTACCATTCATTGCAGGAGAGCCAGGATCTCAGTTCCAGGACTTTGAGCCCAAGCAGTACCAGCAGACTCGTATTCCTGAGTATGCCCAGCCCCTGCACCCACATCCATGCCTGGGAAACAGCATCTGCAGGGGCAGAGCCACAGGGGAGCCCAGCGAACCGGCGACACCGGCCCTGCAGAGGAGGAGACTCTGCCCACGCCAAGCAGGAACTCACCGATCCCTTCTTCTAGCTTGTGGATGGTGTGGGTTTCCCCGGCCACTACGGCGGCGCTGGCCTCCGAGCCCTCTTGGTAAATCCTGTCGTGAAAGCGTCCATCGATAAAGAAACTATATAAATCATGGGAAATTAAAATTCACAGCATGGGGTTAACAATTCGGTTTGTTTCTTTCTTGCCTGTCCTCGTGGATTTCATTTGATACGGTTTCAATCGCAGGCATTTTCTGGCATGTACAAAATAGGATAATAATCCCAAGGATTGAAACGCGCAGAGGCGTTCCCAGTCCTGTCACTGCACCCTCCACGTTGGCAGTGCTGCTGAAGCAGCTCTGCAGAGCGCTTCCCTGCGCCTTCTCCTCGGGTTTCTGACATGGGCTGTTATCCACAACAACAGGATGCAAAGCCCAGTGCCCCAGGATTTCCCTCCCAGCCCTGTGTGACACTGCAGCACGGGTGATCAGAGTCACTGTCAGGCCTACAGCCGCCCTGCGCTGCAAATATTATCAAACTGGAACCAGTATAGTTATGTCTTGACTGAGCCAGAGTTAAGATGAAGCAGCAGCAGCCACTTCTCTGCAGCAGCTGCCAGGGGTACCACAAAATCCCCTCCAACATCCTAGCTTCGTTGTAATTTAGAGGATTATTTCAGAGGGAAGCTGGCACAGAGGGGAAGCTGGCACAGAGGCACACATGGATGTGGCCACGCTGGCACAGAGCACCAGGTACAGCAGCTGCCGTGTGGCAAAATCCCACCCTGGGGCCAGAGAGGGAGGAGGGAAACCATGAGGATGCGTGGCCGGGGCAGCACCGTGACCACCTCGCTGCTTGCCCACGGCCACAGCCATCGCCAGGCTGCTGAGATCCAGAGTCAGCATCGCGCGGAGACAATTTCAGTCCTCGGGGCCCCCGTGACAGCGACACATACAAAAGCTTTTTCGCGTTGCATTTTTCTCTCTACCGCGTGTGGCACAAAACCGATGCGGACCTGAAAAACGCAGCGACGCTCCATCACCGCACCATAAAAATCTACAGGGACACCCCCCCCACACACACACACCCTGCACCTCCCAGACACACCAGTACCGTCCAACTCACCCTTGCTGCACCGGCTGGAGCTGCAAGATCACTTGGGTTTTGGTATCCTCCGGGTTCTCCCCTTCGTTTCCGTCACTTGGTACAACCACCACATCACCCACAGGGACGCTCACTTCGGCATTCGCCATCTCTCACATGAAGCCCGGTGGTAGCGAGGTGCCGCGGTGCTGCAGAGGGCAAAGCAGAGGCAGGACTGTACGGCGGCACCGCTGCCTGCGCAGGGACAGGGACAGGCAGCAGGGTGTGAGCATCCTCGCCGGGTCCCGCTGCAGCACAGGCTGCGCTAGCAGGGACTATGGGGCCGGCAGAGCGAAGCTCCAGCTCCAAAGAGGCCACCAGGCATTTTAAATTCACCATCAGAGAGAGACAGCAAGTGCCTGTCAATAGACAGGAGGATTTCTCCTCCCCCTCTTGATCATGATAGCCAGGAACGTCTCATCCAACAACACAAAACCACCAGAGCCTGATCCCCCCCAGGGCCATCCCGCTCACAACTTCCCAAGCTGGCAGCAGCCAGTGGCTTCCTCTGAGACGGTTTCCCAGGCAGAGTTTCTCCTGCCCTTGGGATGCTCTGACCCCTCGGTACCAGGAACACGCCTGGGCCTGATGGGAGATGCCAATATTCCCAGTGCAGTGCCACAAGAGATCCTGGCAGGGGGTGGCCAGGCAGCGCTGCGCTGGCAGGGCCTGTTCCCAGCGCGATGCAGGGAGGCACAGAGGTGGTTCAGTGACAGCTGCGGGGCTGAGGCTCAGCCCGGGGGGACAGGATCAGCCCCTCGGGGTCTGAACACAGCTGGGAAGGTGCCCAGGACAGGACAGGCCATGGTGGGG